TCCCAAAGTGTGGAGAGACTGACGTTTGTGAATATGTCATTCAGGCGTGGTTTAGTCTGGATTTTCAAACCACCAGTTCCTGACCAATGACTAAATCCGCCATGAATCATGCCCCAAAACATGTGCCACTTTCAGGTATCATCTCACTGTGGTGTGTTCCATTTTGTGTCTATAGGGTGCTGGCAGATTACGGGCTCCCATAGCCTGCTTGCAGGCCCCTAATTGCCATGGGCCCCTATACCGCATCCTCATGCTGCTGCCAAGTCCAGAGTCTCTCATGGGTCCCTGGACGGCCTCCCATTGCTTGCTGTCTCCATCGCAACACTTCTGCCATGGTCCCACTTTCAGGTCTCACACACTGCTGGTGTGTTTAGAATTTTTTGAACATAGGGTGATGGCCGCATTACGGCCCTCCCCTGGCCCCCTTCCCCAGGCCCCTAAATCTTGCCCATAAGGCACCTATATACCGCCTCTCATGCTGTGCCAGGTCCAGAGTTGTCAGGGGTCCCGTCGGCCCCCCCCATTGCTGCGTCTCCATCGCCACACCCTGCCATGTCCCCTTTTCGGTCCCTCACACTGCTGGTGGGTTCCTTTTTTTGTCATAGGGGCTGCAGATTACGGGCCTCCCATAGCTGCTGCCAGGCCCCTAATCTCCCGGGGCCCCCTGTTGTCGCTTTTTGGGCATATTCCGTCGTTCAGATGCCCTTCTCCTTACTCCTTTTACGGTTTCCCGTCAGCATCTTTTTTGGAAAACCCTTTCCAAAAGGACAACAGTTTTTCGAGCCGCACCAGACGGTGCAAAAAACTAAAACGTCCCCCTGTCCAAGTTGCTGCTGCCAGGGGGTAATCTGTCAGGGCCCCCCCTGTACCCCCCTCCTCATGCTGCTCCCAGGTCCAGGGTGTCATGGGCCCCCGTACCGACCCAAATGCGTCCCCAGGCCCGTAATCTTCATGGGCCCCTGTCCCCCACCCCTCCCTGCTGCTGCCAGGTCCAGTTTGTGTCATGGTACCTGTAGGCCTCCCATTGTGCTGCAGGGCCTGTAATCTGCCATGGGCCCCGTACCGGACTCCTCATGCTGCTGCCAGGCCCCATAATCTTGCCCATGGGCCCCTGTACCGCCTCTCCTCAGCTGGCTGCCAGGTCCATAGGGTGTCATGGGTCACCAGTACGGCCTCCCATTCGCTGCTCGTCTCTATCGCCACACTCTGCCATGGTGCCACTTTCAGGTCTTCCTCAACACTGCTGGTGGTTTCCATTTTTGTCATTAGGGTGCTGTATGGCCTCCCATTGCTTGCTGCCTCCACCGCCACACTGTGGCTCCATCACTCTGGTTTGGGCCCGTGGACTGGCCAAAATGATGTGAAGTGTGCGGTGATTCTAAGATCGACTGCACTCATCTGCCATGTCAATTTCTGCCTGACAGTATTATTTCTCTTCGTCCCAGCAGACTCCAAGGGCCATTTAAATTAAAGGTACCAAGTGTTCAGCACTAATATTAAGTCTCTCTGAAGCCTAGCAAACACCCTTTTTTAGAGTTAAATTCACAGCGAATATATTCGACTCGAATCGAATTTTTCTACGAATTCGCCGAATCAGTCGAATCGAATTTTTGAATACTTCGCTCATCTCTAATTATTATACAGGATTTATATAGCGCCAACAGTTTGCTCAGCACTTTACAATATAACGGGAGACAATACAGCAACAAAACAGTTCAGTACAAGAGGGTTAGGAGGGCCTGATCCTAGGAGCTTACAAATCTAAGAGGGAGGGGCTGGTGGTAACTAAAAGGTAATAACTGTGGGGGATGGACTGGTAGGAGGAGTGATTTTGTATAGAGAGGTGGTGGTGGGTTATCAGCTAGTTATTATTATTATTATTATTATTATACAGGATTCATATAGCGCTAACAGTTTGCTCAGCGCTTTACAAATATAACGGAGACAATACAGCAACAATACAGTTCAATACAAGAGGGTTAGGAGGGCCTGATCCTTGGAGCTTACCATCTAAGAGGGAGGGGCTAGTGGTACAAAAGGTAATAACTGTGGGGGATGGACTGGTAGAAGGAATAGAAGATTCCCATTATTAGCTGAAGACGGGATAGGCTTCCCAGAAGAGAGAGGTTTTCAGAGATTGCCTAAACAAGGGCAGAGTAGGCGATCGTCGGATAGATTGGGGTAGAGAGTTTTGCAGAAAAGCTTTATCTTTAACATAAAAAGACTTCATTGAGCTCCAGTCCAGTGACAGTGTCTAGGCTGCAATTATGTCATCAGGCAGAAGGAAGCATTTTTTTAGTCTCCTTCAGTTATCAGACTACAACGTTGTAATTTTGTAGCAGGTCACAAAGTGAGAAGCTGCAACAGGGCTGATATATGTCAGATATTTGTGAACACAGCCAACAGCTGCACAGAGTCCTGGATTTATATAACTGTCATCTCTGAGCCAGCATCTCAGTCTAGGATGTAGAATGCTGACACTAGATGACACCTGAACAAAGATGGTGTCATGCTGTAGAGAAAAAGTAAGTGACATTATTGCTAGGTAGATATCTGTGATCTCTATGAGAGGAAATCTATACCTGGAAGTATTACATTTGCACATCACTTAGCATGCATGCTTTTAATATTATATCTAATGCTAGGTCTACTTCAAAGCTGAACTTCAGGGAAAGAAAAAAAAAAGATCCCTTGCAGTGGGGCTGCCCCCCCCGCACTGCAAGGCTTAAATGCCTCATTAGGTCTAGGGGAGAGATAAATGCAATTTTATTTACCCGATCCTCCTCCCCTGCAGGCTTCCTCCATGATGTAAGACCGGTCCCTGTATCCTCTTCTCCTCTATGTTCTGCTGGCCAGTCCCTCTGATGTCATCAATGTTTAACCCTCCTAGATAGACTGCTAGTTAGGTTAGGTAAATTTTGGTTCCCCTGTACTCAGTGGAGCAGCATACAATTATTTTCGGCTGTTCTGGGTTTTTACTGGTTGCAGGTTTGACTATTCCCCCTGCCTTCTGGAGGATTCTAGATTGTAGTGGACTGGGAGAGACAAATTCATATTTATGTGGTCCCAACCAATCTCTGGGGAGAGGGCTCAGTAGGTGGTTGGGGAGTACATATATAGTCTGAGGCCTGGGGCAGCCATATGCCTGGCTGCTGATACCCTAGTTTGGGAAAGATCTTTGAGACTACTGAGAGGGCTCTTTCGGAGATGAGCGCAACATGAAAACCAATACAGAAACCATAGCCTTTCATTGGATGTGAGGATGTTCAGGGACGGTTCACTGCCAAAACATAGGGGAGTTGAGGGGAGCATCAAGAGAGCACCAGAGAAGCTGAGGTTTGTGTAAGCAAAGTGCTTTCATCACCCCCTAGACCTAAATGAGAAGTCAGCCCCTGTAGGGTGAGGACAGCCCCTCTGTAAATGAATATTCTTTCCCTGGAGATGAGCTTTAACAATTGGATATACATTTTTCAAATGGTTCAACAAATGACATATACTCTACATTATATTGTCAGTATTCTGAGAATTCAAAGAAGTGTACACTGAACCTGGAGGCCACAACTGATGACCTCTCTTTCTGAAAATACTGATTTTCTGGCTGCCATGCTGAACTAATGACTAATTTCTAAGTCTCTGACCCAGAACAGGTAATGTTTCTCAGAAGGTAATGAAGACAGGGACAGCCAGGCAATTGCATCTTCAGAATTAGGACAGAAATGGAAGTTTTTGCATTTCTCTTAGTTCTAGCATATCTTTAATAAGATAAGTTCATCTACAGCAGAAACAAATGACATGAACTAAACACACTCAAGAAAAGTCACAAAAGAAAGCCAAAGTTTGCTATGCATGGGCATACTGGTAACATCGTGATCTAGGTTGAATGTCTGTTCAATCCTCTGACATCTATTAAATGTTTATCAACCAGTGGAGGCTAGATTGATTAACCTCTATATTGAAACTGCTTAACAGCTGTTGTCTGTAGACTTCATATGAGATTTTAATTAGAGACAGTATGACTGAAAACAGATAACTACTGATGTTCTGTCTCTTTTGATAACCCAAAGTGATCTGGGAATCCTTTGACTTTGTGTTAAATGTTTGTCAGCTAGAAGAGGCTAGATAGATTAACTTCTACAATGATGCTGCTTAGCAGCTGTTGTACGTAGGTTTCCTATGAGGTTTCAGTCAGAGACATCATGCTTGAAAAGAGATAAAAACTGGTGTGCTGTCTCTTAGATAACCCAGGGTGCTCTAAGAAAACTTGGTTTGTATTAAATGTTAATTTGTAAAATAATATATCTATATATTACAACTTCAGATTTAAATAGAATTGACCCAAAGCCATTAAATCTTCTCCTCTGCATCCTGCATGACAGTCAGGGCACTGATTTACTTATACAGACAATATAGCATTATAACGCCTCAACAGATGAATTAAGACAATAACATTATTATACTTGCTAGGCTTGCATATCATGATATACAACAAAAAAAAAAAATGGCATTTAGGTATATTGCAAAGAACCATCTAAAACAAATAATTAAAAAAAATGGTAGTCATTATCATGGGCAAGATGATGGCTAATACAGGTTCTTTTCTTCCAGTTTTTCCATTTTCACTGTGGCTTGGAGTGGGTTCTGAAATAAAAAGTGGAAAGCATATCAGAGGATTTGTGTAACAATGTGTTTTAATACCTTAAGGCATGGGTGTCAAACTGGTGGCCCTCCAGCTGTTGCCAAACTACAAGTCCCATGAGGCATTGCAAGGCTGACAGTTACAAGCATGAGTCCGAAAGGCAGAGGCATAATGGGACTTGTAGTTTTGCAACAGCTGGAGGGCCACCAGTTTGACATCCCTGCCTTAAGGGGTAACTGTGCGTTTCAACAATTATCCCTTTAACCATGTCCTCCCAAGTCTTGGGCTGGCCATAGACGCCTCATTTTTTTTTTCTCGATCAGCCAGAGGGTGAAGTGAAAAGAAACAAATGCATCTCCCCATCCACAGTTGCAAGGTGGATAGAGGACCCTTCCCTCTGTGTCATTGTATTTTGACAGCAGGACTCCTCCGCAATGGGCTGTAGCTTCTTGATTGACAAAAGTTTTCCAGCAGTCCCATTAGATAGATGGGTCAGCCGAGTTTATACTCAATTTTCCTCCATCCTGTCAGACCCACACTGTTTAACCCATGGTGAACTTCACAGCTTGCACAAGAAACGTTTCTGGTTAGTTCTAAATACCTTTTTGTTTGCAAGGGAAAAATACCATTCCTAGGTCATTTATCATGTGACCCAATGACACCTGGCCTCTTCATAGGGATATATGGGATTCGTCTATTTTGAGATTGTCTGGGAGAGTTTGTAGCCGAACCTGAGCGGTTCTCAGTGGGCCATACAGAATGGATATGTCAGTATCATTGACAGTTGTGTATAGGACTTTAGAGGGAATGATTAATTTAGGGTCTTATTCAAACATTTGTCCTCTTACGGGAGTTTGCAGCATCAAAAACATGGTAAAAGGATGTGTTTTTGCATGGGTGTTAATGCATGTTAATGCACATTCCTGAGTCTGGTGTTAACGCATTCTATTGGCCAAAATTCTGACCAATACAATGCATTAACACGGGAATGCACATAAATGCACCTAGCCACTAAACTCCAGAAAACACGTATAGTGTGCATGGACACATAGGCTAACATGGAGGGGAGTTTACAGGCAGAGAAAAAAAAATGCTCAAATGCCTGAAGAAGCAGCTTTTTTTTGAGCTGCGGTGTGCATGAGGCCTAAGGCTAGGTTCACATATTTGCGGGTGGTGTCGCTGTGGATCCGCACAAAAATCCGAGCAGCCGCACCACCCGCACAGAAAAATGCGGACCTGCAGGCGGATGCCATTAGTTCTAATGGCACGCTGCCCACACTGGAAATCGCAACTGTACTGGGAACCGAGGTTCCCGTGCGGGCTGCATTTTCAGAAGAAGTGCAGGGACTTCTTCCCTGCGTGTCCCGGGGCACGGGAGTCCATTCAAATTAATGGGCTTTCGTGTCTGCGCAAAACACGGACTGCAGGAACGCAGATATGTGAACCGGGGTAAAAGCTTACCTGGCAGTTAATGAAAGTTTGCCCAAAAAGCTATGCCTGTTTTGAAGAGATTCTCCACTGAATACCATTCTGCTTAGGTGATATCCAAAAGTCTTATGGGAAAATGAGAATTCTGGAGTGGTAATCTTTTGGTGCCCCACAGCTCCCATTATTATTATTATGTCGGATTTATATAGCGACAACAGTTTACGCAGCACTTTACAAAATGAGGGCAGACAGTACAGTTACAATACAATTCAATACAGAAGGAATCAGAGGGCCCTGCTTGTTAGAGCTCATAATTTAAAAGAGAGGGTCAGGTGAAACAAAAAGTAATAACTGTGGGTGATGAGTGGATTGAAAAAATAAAGTACAGTTATTAGGTGGGGGCAGGATAGGCTTCCCTGAAGAGGTAGGTTTTAAGGGATCGTCTAAAGGTAGACAGAGTAAGATTGGGATTGGGAATTCCATAGGATGGAGAGACTTGGGAAAGTCCAAAAGTCCTGGAGAGGACTGAGAGGAAGCATGGGAGAAAGTGACAAAGGAGCTAGGTAGAAGGAGGTCTTAGAGAATATGGTTGGTATTTTCATCCTAGGTTAGTGATGTAGCTGGCGGACAAGTTGTGGATGGCTTTGTAAGCTGTTAGTATTTTGAATGTAATTAGTTGGGTGAGCTGAAGCCAGTAGAGGGAATGGCAGAGAGGAGTAGCAGACACTGAACGGTTGGTAAGGCTGATTAGTCTGGCATCAACATTCATGATGGACTGGAGGGGGGAAAGCCTATGTAAAGGTAAGCCAATGAGGAGGGAATTGCAGTAGTCGAGGCGAGAGATAACCAGAGAGTGAATTAAACCTTTGTGGTGTCATTGGTTATGAAGGGACATATTTTGGAGATGTTGCGGAGGTTGAGGTGTCAAGTTTTTCTTCCTGCCATCCTGAGTCTTATGATATGGAGATCAGCAGAAAGAGCCAGTGAGAGCTGCGGGGCACCAAGGAGACATCTTTTTAACAGGTATAGCTTTTGGGGCAAATTTTTATTTACTAAAAGATTTGCTTTAAAGGAAAATTTTACGAAGGTCTCAAGTAGAGATGAGCGAATTTCTCAAAAATTCGATTCGGCTGATTTGGCGAATTCCAGTATGAAATTCGATTCGATGCGAATTAATTCGCTACGAATTTAACTTATTAAAAGGGTTTCTAGGCTTCAGAGAGCCTTTAAATTAGTGCAGAACACTGTACCTTTAATTTAAATGCCCTTGGAGATGAAAACAAATGGAAACAAATAGATACAATGTTTCAACCGCTGTATGGAGTGAGTGTCCCAGAACTGTCATAAATAGTCTATTTCTGACAGTTATGGAACATTCACTCCATACAGCGGTTGAAACATTGTATCTATTTTTTTCCATAAATGACATTCTGCAGATACACTTAGAGGAGCGCTGCAGATACACTTTTTGCCGGCTTGGAATTATTCTTATTTTCATCCTACTTCTTCTTCTTCTTCTTCTTCATCCTCATCCTCTTCTTCTTCTTCTGAGGATGAGGATGAAGAAGAAGAAGAAGTAGGATGAAAATAAGATTAATTCCAAGCCGGCAAAAAGTGTATGTGCAGAGCTCCTCTAAGTGTATCTGCAGAATAGAGGAACCCTGCACATACACTTTTTGCCGGCTTGGAATTATTCTTATTTTCATCCTACTTCTTCTTCTTCTTCTTCTTCATCCTCATCCTCAGAAGAAGAGGATGAGGATGAGGATGAAGAAGAAGAAGAAGAAGAAGTAGGATGAAAATAAGAATAATTCCAAGCCGGCAAAAAGTGTATGTGCAGAGTTCCTCTATTTCTGACAGTTCTCTGACAGCTTCTTCACATGTACAGTGGTTGAAACATCTGTATCCTAAATGGAAACTAATAGATACAATGTTTCAACCGCTAAACATTTGTTCCTTCTGTCAGAGAACTGTCAGAAATAGCGGAGCTCACTGCAGGGACACTTTTGCCGGCTGATCGGGAAATATTCGATTCGCGCACCCGAAGTAGGCAAAATTTCGGATTCGACGCGAATCGAATATTTCCTGAAATTCGACTCGAATTCCGGTTCGCCTGGTTCGATTCGCTCATCTCTAGTCTCAAGACTGTCAAAAATTACAACTTGATTATGTCTATACTGCAATAGTACAAGAAACAAGAGCTTTAACCATTTGCCCTCCAGAGGATTTACCCCCCCTTTCTGACTAGGCCATTTTTTGCGTTATGGCGCTGTTACTTTAACTGACAATTGCGCGGTCATGCAATGCTGCACCCAAATTAAATTTACGTCCTTTTTTCCCCCACAAATTGTGCTTTCTTTTGGTGGTATTTGATCACCTGGTTTTATTTTGCACTATAAAATAAAGACCGATTAATTTTGAGAAAAAAAACAATATTTTTTTACTTATTACTATTAAACATGTCCAGTAAATAAATAAAAAAAATCAAATTTCATCATAAATTTAGGCCAAAATGTATTCTGTTCCATGTCTTTGCTAAAAAAAATCACAATATGTGTAAATTAATTGGTTTACATGATAGTTATAGCGTTTACAAATGGAGGTACAGTATATATACTGGGCTTTTTTTTTTTAAATATTTTTACTAGTAATGGTGGCGATCAGCAACTTATAGCAGGACTGCGGACTGTGGCGGGCATTCTGACACTGGGGGGAACTGACTTGGTGTCACTGACATCCCCAGTAACACCAATACAGTGATCAGTGCTAAAAAAAAAGCACTGACACTGTACTAATGACACTTGGCAGGAAGGGTTAACATGAGGGACGATCAAAGAGTTAACTATGTCCTGTGTCCGTCTGCTTCACTGTAATCACACTCCTTTGCATGGCTGTACTGTGCACAGTCATCCAAAGCAGTGTGTACAAGCCGACAGGGACGAGCATTTTTTTTTTTTTACAAACAGTTCTCCCTGTTGGAGATGTTCGGCAATCACCGGACGCCGGCGAGTAATCGCCGGTCGGGAACCGATGATTGACAGCCGCAGCCGCGAATGGTGGTGCGGGTAGGGTCCGCGCACTCCCTATCTGGAAACGCAAAATCACGTATATATACATGATTTTGCGCACCCGTGCTGCCCTGTAGCAATATTTCTGCTGTAGGGCGGTCGGTAAGCAGAACCCTAGCAAATCCAGGCATTGTTTTGGTGACTGGCAAGGTAGGTCTTTATAGAAGATAGAAGACTGATTACATAACTTACATTTTAAGGAAAGCTTTGGGGTATGAAAATTGTTATAAAATAAAATGATATAGATCACTGAGCAGTTCTGATATCAGTGACTTGTATCTACTGTACATTGAGAATTGCTTCATCTAAAGCTGAATTTCTTTTTGTCTTGAAAACTTGGATAGTGTGGGAAACAATTGGAACTTCTGTCAGGTTTTTATTGCCGTCTGTGTCCCTGCTGGGCAGATTCACCCTTTTTTTGTCCTAGTTATTACTGTCATGGGGACTGAAGGTGATGGGTGATCCAAAATTGCATAGTTGTCATTGGAACAGGAATAATGGAAAATATTTAAATGTCAACACTTGTTCTAGTGAAAAATGTCTAAGTGGTATTTTACCCAAATTTTGGAGAAATCTTCCCTTCCTTCCCATTACCAGTCTCTAGGACAGAAAGTAAAAGAAAAACTCCCCAACAGCATGGTTGCAAAATAAATAACTAAACAAAGCAGGTCTTAACAAACCTCCAACCCTTAGGCATACTTTAAAGTTTGATTTCATTTCATTCATTTAGGGATGCCAGCATTGACATTTTCCTACCCAAATGTTCAGTACTTCCCAACTGATGAGGCACGACAGAGCAAAAAAAAATTTCATTTTCCAATGAAAGGTTGTGACACCTCTTAATGGTCTTGTAGAAGGTGATAAAGACTGGGATGTGGACACTAGAGGGGAAGGAGAGGATAAGTACAGAAATGGACACTGGAGTTAAAGGAAAAGAGTGTTAGAGATGGACAAACTTTAGGGGAATGCACAGACTAGCACAGGGGAAGGACAACAAAGGGAAAGTAGATGTTGAGGCACATTAGAGGAGAAGCAGAGGAGGGGTTTAGGTTGGGAAACTAGAGTGGAAGCAGAAGAGTGGTGAAGGTGCCATCACTGAAGAGAAGGAGTAAGGTCCAGGTGAAGACAATGCAGGAGAAGGAGAGGAGTAGTGTAAGTTAGGATACTGAAGAGGAAGGAGATGAGCTGAATAGTTGGGGACACTGGATAGAAAGAGAGATGAGTGGTACAGGTATGGGCACTAGAGGAAGAGGAGGAATCGTACAGGTGGTGAAACTTAAGGGGAAGGAAAGGACAAGTAAAAGGGAGAACATTATATGGTAAATAGAGGAACGGTATATGTAAGGGACACTAGAGGGAAGGAGAGGAGTGTAATAAGTTGGAAATCTGGATGCAAAGAGAGATTGTGCAGGTGCCATCACTGGAGGGGAAGGAGAAGAGTGGTGCAGGTGTCATCACTGGAGGTGAAGGAGGGTGGTACAGTTGAAGATCATGCAGGGGAAGGATATAAGCAATACAAATGGGAGCACTGAAGGGAAAGGTAGGAGAAGCGGCACAGGTGGGGACACTGGAGAAAAAGGAGAGAGGAGAAATAAAGGTGAGGATACTGTAGGGGAAGAAGAGGAGTAGTACAGGTGAGGACACTGAAGGAGAAGAAGAGGAGAGGCAAAGGTGAGGTACACTAGAGGAGAAGGAGAGGAGCAGTATAAGTTGGGAAACTGGATGGGAAGAAGAAGAGTGGTGCAGGTGCCATCACTGGGGGAAAAGAAGGATGGTACAGGTGAAGATGATGCAGGTGAAGTAGATAAGTACTAATGGGAGCACTGATAAGTAAGGGGAGAGGAGAGGTACAGGTGGGGACACTGGAGGATGAGGAGAAAAGAGAAGTAAAGGTGAGGATACTGGAGAGGAAGAAGAGGAGAAGTACAAATTAGGACACTGGAGAGGAAGAAGAGGGGAGGCACAGGTGAGGGATACTAGAGGGGAAGGAGAGGAGTGATATAAGTTGGAAAACTGGATGGGAAAGAGAAGAGTTGTGCAGGTGCAATCACTGGAGGGGAAGGAGGATGATACAGGTGAAGATGAATCAGGTGAAGGAGATGAGTGGTACAAATGGGAGCAAGAGTGTGAGGTTGTAAGCAGTGGACAGGTGCAGTGCATGCTTTTGATAAAGGAAGGATGGCAGAAGAAAATGGCATTACACGTTTACTTACTTTGAATAATCAACTTTTTAGACAAGCTTTTGGTTTTAAACTCAGCCTCACAGATGAACTCTTTCTCGTGTGTCTCTTGGGTGACCTCCACTATACAGGTTACATTTGGGTTGTTGCCTGTCTGAAAGTTGCAACTTTTGAATGTCACATTGGCCTTGATGGTTAATTGAACATCCTTGCAGTTGGTGCAGGAGAGTGTGCACGTGATGGCTGCATCTTCGTTCTCAGAAATATTTTCTGGCAAATCCAACACAGGAACTGGAGGATTACCTAATCAAAGAAAGAGTTCCATTGTCAGTATATGTCACACAATTGAAACGTTGGGTTTACCATCACGGATAGTGATGGCAGAGACAAAAGAAAGTGCTGGTCAGATTTCAAACCTGTTCATAGACAAGATTGGAATTATTTAAAGGAGTTTTCATTGTCAACTAAAAAGTGGAAAACCCCTTTAACTGGTGGGCAGGTCTCAACGAAGGGTGTGAACCCTGGCAAAAGTTTTTTTGCAGAGCTAAATTAGACCAAGGAGCAGTTTATTTATGCCATTGCTCACTTTGGTTGTAAAGAAAATCTGAAATCCAGGTATGATCTTAATTGAATACTTACATTGGTCCAACTTGGATCAATGCAAGTATGCATATCTAATGCCTATGCCCTGTCACTGACTACAGTGGGTCGCTGGCTCAGTACTACTGCTATTCACAGAGCACCTTCATTTTTTGTATTTCAATGTTTTTATTAATTTATAAACAGTTGAAGACAGGAGCAACAAAACACTCCCACACAAGGGCTATCAATGGCAAATAAATGACAAAAACATTAGTATAACACAGACAGTAACTCAAACTAAAGGCAGCTATCCACTGCCACACCAAAAACAAACAGAAAAACAAAAGGAAGGAAGAGTACAAAAGGAAAAAGATAACAAGACCAAGAGCAGGGGTCTGAAAATGCCAATACCGAGCAACATCACAAACCCAGACTAGCCGGGGGGAGTGTGGGAAAGGCATAATAAAGAAGAATAAGAATTCCAGTCCGCTATTATATTTGACATGAAAAAGTATTGTGGTTGCAACAAGGTATCTATTGGAAATGGATACAAATGGATACATTGTTACAACCGCAATACTTTTTCATGTCAAATATAATAGCGGAGCTCTCTGCAAGGGACAGAAGTAATTAAATGGTGGCCGTAGATGGGATGAAAATTGGTCGATTTTTTTTACTGTTGGTGGTAAGGTCGGCCTATTGAACAACCGATTTTTATTTATTTATTTATTTATTTTTTTTTTAAATGGCCGGTTTTCGACCTGTCTATGGCCTGCATAAGCCTTGTATGTGGCCTTCTGAAAGGAAAGGGATTTATTACTGCTCTGGCTTTTTCAGTTCTGTGTGTAACTCTAAAGTTGAACTCTAGGCAAACAGCTAAGTTCAAGTATGAAATACATACTGTATACATCTGTTTTACCTGCCAAAGATTTAGCATTTCTGTCCATCCAGCTCTGTGATATATAAAGCTCTGCTAGACTGAACAGTCAAACTGGCGACCTAACTTTCCTATTCTGCAGTTCAATTATAACCTGTGAGCAGACTATGTACATGCTATACATATTCTCAGCAAGCATTTAACCACTTGCCCTCCAGTTGATTTACCCCCCTTCCTGACCTGGGCATTTTTTGTGATACAGCGCTGCATTACTTTAACTGACAGTTGCACGGTCATGCAACTCTGCACTCAATTGAAATTTATGTCCTTTTTTCCCACAAATAGAGCTTTCTTTTAATGGTATTTGTTTGGCTCTGCATTTTTTATTTTTTGCGCTATAAACAAAAAAAGACCGACAATTTTGAAAAAACAAACCCTATATTTTTTTTACTTTTTGCTATTAAACATGTCCAGTAAAAAATTTTTAAAAATCAAATTTTGTCATAATTTAGGCAAAATGTATTCTGCTACATGTCTTTGCTAAAAAAAATCCCAATATGTGTAAATTAATTGGTTTATGTGAAAGTTATAGCATTTACAAACGGCAATATATATATATATATATATATACATACTGGAATTTTTTTTTTGACTAGTAATAGCGGCGATCAGCTACTTACAGCGTGACTGTGGGACTTCAGCAGGCATTATGACACTGGGGGGGAACTGACTTGGTGTCACTGACATCCTCAGTGACACCAATACAGTGATCAGTGCTAATACAAAGCACTGACACTGTACTAATGGTACTGGGCAGGAAGGGGTTAAGATGTGGGGCAATCAAAGGGTTAACTGTGTGCTGTGTGCGTGCTTTACACTGTAAGCACACTGTTTTGTATAGCTCTGCTATGCAGAGCCATACAAAGCAGTGTGCAGGAGCTGACAGGGGAGAGCTCTGTATTGTTTATACACAGGTCTCTACTCCGCTTGTGATGCTCGGCAATCCCTGGATGTCGATGGGGAATCACCGTCCAGGACCCAGTGATTGACAGCCGAGGCTGCGAATGGCAGTGCGGGTAGGGGGCACACTCAGCGCACGCATGCCCCCTACCCTGAACTGCAAAATCACGTATATAACAGCTCTCTGTTGTCCTGGGTTCTATTATGACCTTCTGGAGGAGTCGTTGTAGCGCTCTTGGAATTAATTTGGTAGGCTGGCCACTCCTGGGAAGTTTCACCACTGTTCCAAGTTTCTTCACTTGTGGATAATGGTTCTTATCATGGTTCAATAGAGTTCCAAAGCCTTAGAAATGGCTTTGTAACCCTTTCCAGACTGATACATGCCAATTACTTTGTTTCTCCTCTGTTCTTGAATTTTTTTAGATCATGGCATGATGTGTTGTTTTTTTTGAGCTTTTAGTGTGCTTCACGTTGTCAGACAGCTTCTATTTCTTGATTCCACAAGTCTGGCAGTAATCAGGCCTGGGTGTGGCAAATTAAATTTAACTCAGCTTTCCAATAAATGTGTTTTTTTTGCAGTTCATTCATGATTTAGCAAGGGGGAGGGGTTACTTTTTCACATAGGGCCAGGCAGGTGTGGACAACATTTTTCCCTTAATAAATGAAGCCATCATTTAAAAACTGCATTTTGCATTTACTTGAGTTATCTTTGTATAATATTAAAATTTGTTTAATGCTCTGAATCATTTGAGTCTGACACATATGCAGAAAAAAAATCAGAAAGGGGGCAAGTGCATTTTCACAGCACTGTATATACAGTAATTGGATGCTTGAAGTGATCTGCCCTATCAGTGCTCAACTACATGAGACATTGCACTCGTCCTAATCGGATCCACAGACCACAACAATTTGTGGAACACTGTTATAATTAGTTCACCCAATCATGACCAAAGCAAAATAAAATGGTCAGAGTCTGAGATGTATAGTATGTGTTTCAGTTTATAGAGAAATGAAAGCAGAGATGAAGTAGAGATAAAGCAATGATTCATTGTAGGTTGAAAACAGGAAATTGAAGTTTAATTGGGTTGCGCAAAGCTATTGTCTACTTTTGAAAAATCAATGCTTTAACCTTTTAACATCCCTGACTGCACTTGATACATAGACGCTCATGTGTCTGTAGTGCAATGTACCCATGACTACTGTGAAGTGGTTTCACCTTATGGTCATTGTGGGTGTCTGATTGGTGAACCAAGTCTTCTGATGTTCAGCAGAGACCACATCAAGTATATATATTCAAATAATTACTGCACTAATATATATATATATTAGCCTGCCCACTCAGATAAAGGTACCAGCTTTATATTATGAAGACCCAACTATTATTATTATACAGGATTTATATAGCACCAACGGTTTGCTCAGCGCTTTACAATATAACGGGAGACAATACAGCAACAATACAGTTCAATACAAGAGGGTTAGGAAGGCCTGATCCTGGGAGCTTACAATTTAAGACTAAAATTAACATGATATCAGTCACCAATTTGTGCTACAGAAATAGTTTACATGCCCCACATCATCAAACATGAACCTACATTCATACCTGGGAACCTATATATATATATATATATATATATATATATAAACCTGCGCTAATGAGAATACATGATCAATAATCAAAAATAAAGTGTATAACACATAGCAGCTGAACACAAGAATCCTGATACTAAGCAATAAACAAGTCACCGGCTTTCTGGGTTGCTTCACAAAGCACAATTGACCACTCTTAACAGGGGATCATGCCTCTCTGGTAAGCCTTCTGTATGAGTGGTTGGTGACACAACAACTGTCCTTGGATTTATTTTGTTTCATCGCAGCCTGTGGGACTTTTCTTTTAATTTAGCATGGGCTATTTTTTTACATATTTTTCACTGTTTTATTATGATAATTTGTCACTTTTTTAAGTGCTGCACTTTTATGTATTTATTATTTAATATCTGGGAACCTGCTGGAATAGGTCCAGCAATGCTGGCATTTCTAATCTGTTTCCAGGTGTAGCGCCCTATAAGGTAGATTGTTTGTTAAGTCAGCTAGAGGCTTGCTAGAAGCCTAGGTGTGAGACAGAGGGTTTACTTCAGGACCAGCTGGAGGGCTCTACAGGTCAGCGTTCTGGTACCTCCCCCATGCTCTTGAAGCTTGGAGAAGCTTCTAGAAGTCAGTAGATGGAGGTGAGGAGGAGCTGATCCGCATATTTATTGGAGTCTGACCAATCCCATGCAGGAGGCCTGGAAGTGTGGCAGACTGGCCCATAAATATGATAGAGCCCGGCCAGCAGGGGAGTCAGGTGAAAGATGGACGATTGAAGTGATGCTGTGTAGCCTAGGAGGGCGACCCAGAGAAGGGTGGTTCTGACTCCAGGCTGGAAGTTGGAGGAAAGCTGAAAAGAGGGAGTTCCACTGCCCTGCAATTCCCCGGGGAAGGACAGCCTGCATAACATGGAAAAGAACCAACCCAGCGGAAAGCCCAAAAGAAGTTCTAGCCACAGCTGTAGGACAAGAAGAGTACCTCTACACCCCCAGGGCCTATAAAGGAAAACTCTGCTAGATGCAACTTGGCAAGTCTTCAGGGGACAGTCTAGTGCTCACCCAATACCTTGCCTTGGGATCAGATACCATGGCCAGGTGGGCTGGTATTTTGTTCACAAAGGGGACCCAGAGCTCCTATAGGTTGTCACTTTGCTGAAAATCCACTTAGGGAACACCAGACTCCTAGTAGGGAGATCTCTTTTCTAAAGACTGTTGCTGTTCTGGAGGGGATACAGAACAGCAACAGAATGCCAAAGAAGGCAGCTGTCCTCATTTTGTTGATCTTCAAGTCAAATTGGGCATCCCATAACCTCTTTTTTGTTATCCAAGTTAAAATCCCTAATAAATACAAAAATAAGTCTATGGACTGTTTCTATGTGTCCGGGTACAAGTTGGAAAGTGCATGCTGCCTAGCTGTGCAGGGAATAAAAGGGACCCAAAGCCAGCGGCTCTCATGGGGGTAGTGCTACACAAATCATTACTGAATTTGTCAAATCTCCAGTCTGCCATTCTCTGAGTCATCATTGCTGGGTCTGCCCATAATAACAATGGCTGCTGGTCCTTTACCCCCACCCTACCAGGCTATGCACAGTGTCGTTGTTACGGTGCTGGCATCCCACTAACCCTACCAAGGAAAAACTCACACTGTGGGCTTTTTATTACATAGTTACATAGTTGGTAAGGTTGGATAAAGAGTGTGTGTGTGTATGTAATTACTGTTTTCCATTTCCCTGTACATCTAAAAGTTTTTTGAACGTATCTAAACTCTCTGGTAACACCATCAACTGTGGAAGGGAGTTCCTCATTTAACAGTAAATAACTCCTAATGTATTGCAGTTTAGAGTTGAACCACAACTTCATTGTGTGGCCATGTTTCTTTTTTAGAGACCTAAGATTAAAAACTTTTCTCCCAGTGATACAGTCCTCATGTAAAAATTTGTGTATTGCTATCATATCCCCTCTTAAGCGTCGCTTCTTCAGGGAAAATAAGTTTAATGTTTATAGTCCTCATAACTGAGGTCCTCCAGCCTCCTTTTAGTTTTGTTGCCCTTCTCTGGACTCTCTCCTTCCTTCTTGAGGATTGGTTCCTGGGTATATTAATTCATACAATAGTTTACAGTAGTTTTAGCCACTTGAGCTCCAGAGGATTTACCCCCCTTAATGACCAGGCCTCTTTTTGCTACTCAGAGCTGCACTAATTCAACTGATAATTGCGTGGTCATGCAATGCTGCACCCAAACGAAATTTACGTCCTTTTTTTCACACAAATAGAGATCTCTTTCGGTGTAATTTGATCACCTGTGCGCTATTTTTTTTTCACGCTATAAACAAAAAAAGGCCAAAAATTTTGAAGAAAAACAATATTTTTTACTTTCAGCTATAAAAAATATATAGTAAACTCAAAGTTGGTTATAAATTTAGGCCAAAATGTATTCTGCTACATGTTTTTGGTAAAAAAATCCCAATAAGTGTATATTGATTGCTTTGTGTGGAAGTTATAGCGTCTACAAACTATGGTATAAATACTGCAGTTTACGCCATTTTTCTGCTATACAGCGCTGTGCTAGTTTAACGGACAATTGCGCGGTCATGCAATACGGTACATAAATGAAATTTACATCCTTTTTTTCCCCACAAATTGAGCTTTCTTTCTGTGGTATTTGATCGCCTGTGCGCTATAAAAAAAAGTGACAATTTTGAGGGAAAAAAAACAATATTTTGGACTTTTTGCTATAAAACATGTCCAGTAAAAAAAAAAATGCAAAAATCAAATTTAGTCATAAATTTCTGCCAAAATGCATTCTGCGACATGTCTTTGCTAAAAAAAACCCCAATACGTGTAAATTAATTGGTTTACGTGAAAGTTATAGCGTTTACAAATGGCGGGAAAGATACTGGGATTTTTAGGGTTTTTTTTATACTAATAATGGCGGCGATCAGCGAATTATGGCGGCGATCAGGGACTTATGGTCGCGACTAGCGACTTATGGCGGGACTGCGGGACTGCGGCGGACATTCTGACATTGGGGGGTACTGACTTGGGGTCACTGACATCCCCAAAAACACTAATACAGTGATCAGTGCAACAAAAAAAAAACACTGACACTGTACTAATGGCAATGGGGAGGAAGGGATTAACTTTATTTAGCAGGGAAGGGTTATAGGAGTGAGGGGAGTGTTTTACTAGGGGGGGGGGGGTGTGTACTGGGTGGGACAAGGCTGATCGAGAAAGAGAAACTGTTCTTTCTCGATCAGCTCGTCCTTGAGCTGACAGGGAAGTGACAGACAGCACAGCTACTGCAGCTGTGCTGTCTGTCACTGTTTGCCGCCGATCACTGGGAAACAGCCGGTAAGGACCGGCTGTGACCCGGTGACTCACATCTGCGGCGGTGATCGGCGGGACAGATAGGGTGGCGGCGTGCCTCGCGTGCGCCCCCTAGCTGTTTACAAAACACACGGTTTAAAACGTGGTTTTGCCT